ACGATGGCAAATACGAAAATGTGAGAAAATATGTGCAATAACCCTCACCAAGTATAAAAACATACACATCTCCACCATGTGAATTATTGAGTGCGATGCTAGACTGTCCGTTTATGCATAAATGGCAAATAAAAAAAAAATCTTGAATCGGGTTTATGGTAGGCTCTCTTTTGCAAAGCCTTTTGGCCACTAGCCTGGGCCAGTCTTCTTTATTTCATAGTCCAACATCTTTCTGCTTACTGGGTTTCTTTTGCTCTTACACTCACAATAGTGAATAAAAGAGTCAGCTTGCATCTGTTCCTTTCAGCGACAGGTGATCTGGGGCAGCTACAGTGAGAGAAAGACTTCAGAGCATCTTTGCATAATGCAGACCGACAAGCGATCTGATCACACATAAAATGCAGCTGTAGTCTGACTCAGGCAACCTGCATGAGAGCTCTTTAGCTCCTCTGACTGCTGTGTCCGCGTCAGCACCAGGTCTCTGCTGGGATCATGCATGGTCAGGTCATTGATGTACAGGCCGGTACACACATAGAAAAATGAAAACATTTTCAGAGAAAATGTTATATACTAGAAAGAACAGAATGTTAAAAAAAGGGAATAAAGATGTTTAGATTTTGTTTCCTACAATAATAATGTAAACCGTATGTGCCATTTAACATTACTGCAGTTTTATCAATACAGGTATAAGGTCATTTGCTTGCAAAACAAATTTTGGTAGAGGGGGAAGATGTTTTGCTAATGTACTTAGTGGAAAACACTCAGTTGAAAATGGGTTCCCATTAGGCTCACAAGAGCTGCACTGTCTGATTACAAGCTAATTAGCAGCTCATTTCATGCATGGTAAGTGTTGTTCGAATGGGCCCCTGATTTGATTCAATGCCCAGACTTATTTCTGTCCTTGTAATTCAGTTTAGCTCTTGCTGCGTTTTAATGTTTTACTTTTCAGCTGCAGTGTTTTAATAAAAATCTGTATTTGGCCATGTTTTCATGGGGAAAACTTGTCAGCCGGTAAGCATTGGTACAGTGTCTTCTGTGGCTCTGGATGAAAGCTTGCTAAATTTGCAACTGAGGATAAAACATCAATTTCACTGTGTTAATGTTTTTACATACCAAAAGACAGTTCTAACATTTGTGTTAGATTTTTCTCACCTCAGTCTTGTCATAGCAGACACCTACAAATTCATCAGCTCACTGTAGGGTGTACCTGTCACTCCACTGGCTGCCTTTCTAATGCAGGGAATTACACTGTCACTATACACAGGCAGTCATGAGTACTGTAACTTTTGATATCAGGACTACAAAGTGTTGGACAAAAGTGGAGAGACAACACTGCAAATAGGTTGACTTGGATGCACAACTATTACAATCCCATACATCTGTGACTAAATGGTAGGTATTGGGTAAACCCAGGTGCCAAGCAAAACAGCAGCTAGCACTGAAGAGCAGAGGACATCAGAAATGGGAATGAGAAAGCCAGACAGATTAGGAAACCATGTTTAAAAAAAATAAAATAAATAAATACCTCAGAGGGTGCCAAATAATGTATATACAAAACAAGAACTGTTGCCACTTCTGCACAAATTTCTTAAACTATGAACATCACACCAAGTATACTGTACAAATCTGTGAATATATCAACATACGTGATCATCCAAGCACTGACAACTGAAGTCATAGGCTGACCATCAGGAACTGGCTGACCAGCTAGTCGTTTGTGCCTAAAACAAAGCATCAATACTATAAAACCAAAACAATCAAATGTATGAAACCAAAAGAAGTACCTGAAAAGTCTTACAGCAGCTCAGGAAGTGGAAAGTAGCATCGTTACCAGCTGAGGCTGCTCAGGTTATATAATGAGGAGTGTAACAAGCTGCACCTGGAGCTCCTGAGCCCAGTCTGGTAGACTAGTCTTTAAGGTGGACCAGTCAACCCTACTGCACATATAGTAGTATTATGCCATATTATCAATTTCAGGAGCACATACATGCTCTCTTTGTGGCCAGCTTTCACACATCATCCCCGCATGACTCCTCGATGAAGTCACGAAGACTCTCACAGAGCGGCTCGTACATCATGTCTCTCTGGACTGAAGCTCAAACTGAGCACTGTCAAGTCAGCTCCGCAACTGACTGACTTCCAACAACCCTCCCAAAGGCACCTGCAAGAGAATGAGAACCGTTCAATGATGACTTTTTCACTGCTAGCAGCTGGATTTTAATGCACTAGGCTTTCAGCGTGAAGCTATAAAAAGCCAAATACTGAATATTGCTGCTTTTGCTTTGTCCTGCTCTCAACACTACCTGTCAAGTTTTGAACCTCTCTCCATGCGACATGAACACACTGTGGAGGGCACCTCTCAAACACAGATGGCCCCGGTCATGAGATGTTGTGTTGTTTTCATTACTTCTTCAAGGAAAAGGAGTTATTAACTTACACTCCACTGGTAATGAATTGTTAACTAGAAATGAGAGATTGATTTTATGTAATCCCCAAGGCTTTGTGTATTACAGAGCCAAACAAAAGCTGAAATTGTCTTTGTTAAAAGAGGGCTACTACATAAAACGAAAGTGCTTTTTCTACTAAACAAACACTCTTAAATAAAGTAATACATGTCTGCAGATGATTTTCTGTGACTCCACATTTTCTTTCAAAGGCCGGGAGGGCTCCCACTAGGGGATAGTGGTATTGTGTATCAGGGCAGGTGTGAAATCGATATCCAATCTCAACAGGGATAAAGAAAATGATTCTTCCCTCCAGACCCCTGCAGAGCTCAGTGAATCAATTTGTGGGGACAAAAGCTGCTCACTACAGACCAACTTGAGTTCAAAATTAGCAGCCAAATATAACGTTAAAGGGCATCACTTAGTGATACAAAAAGGGCTTTATGTATAAATCACAACTAGAGTTTCTCAACAGTTGGTAAAGCAGCAAATAAATTAAAACACAACGGTGAAAAAAACATTATATTGGTATATATTATCCTTTACAGTGTTGAACACCTGAGAGGCACGCAGAACGCCGTTACCTCAGTACTGAGAAAGTAAAGGACATCAGTGGTTTGCAGCAAAAATACAAGAGCAACCTGTCGCAGAGTTTAACCTTACACCCTAAACTGGAAAATGGAATTACAACCTCAACCTGATTGCAGCCACCTCATCCATTTTACAGCTGCTCCTGTAAAACTGTCTCTGTGGGAAACACACGGTGGATGGGTTTGTCGGCGACAAATATATAGCACAGTAATTACAAAAGGCTTTACAGGCATTGTAATAAGACAGAGAGAAAATAGAGACTGTGTATATGTGTCTGTGTTTATGTTATGGAGGTCCTGGGTGTTTGGCCTCTCATATAACTGTCACTGTCTGGACAGCAGCTGTTATGATGCACACACACACACACACAGATACAGAGAGGGATCAGATTTATTATCAAAGCTTGAGGTCAGGATGTAAATCTTTATACTTGCCCTTTCTCCTTAATTGCCCTTTCATACCCCCTCCCCCCAAAATACTCCCTCCATCCATCCTCACTCTCTTACCCGTCTGCTAAAATAAACCCTGTGAGGTAACCACCCGAGGCTTCATGGGCTGAGTTTTATACAGACTATTACTTCTCTGTTGAGTGTCAGAGTGTCGCAGTAGAAGCATCCCAGCTTAGGATCAGCCACATCCAGACCAACTCTGACACCCAACATACAAACAGGCAGGAGGCACAGGTAAGCACTGAGGCTGGGGGGGTGGGGTGGGAGGGCCTTTAACAGGTCAAAATCAGCAGTGACACAAAACACTGCTTACAGTCTGACTGAAAGTTAAATATGAAAGGTCACTTAATGAAGAGGCAGCTTTATGTGTGATTTTGCTGTGGTGGGACACTACTGATTACTGTAGTTACAATGTATAAGACGGTTCACAAGTAAAAAGCTTTTTTTCCTTTCAAACAATTTACCAAAATATCAGTAAATGCATTACCTAGTCCCTTTAAGGGAAAAACACAAGGCTGGACTCTATTAGACAGACTCGTTTAATAAAACTGAGGTGCCCTTAATCAAACTTATAATATCCCTTAGGATGTGTGTTATAGCTACAATGTACAGAAAATGTATTGGAATCTGTATTTCCTGCTTTTATCACTAACTCAGGAGTATTAAAGGAGAACTGCAGGAATATATTATATATTAAAGTGGTAGCAATGTCATAACACAAATTACAATTTATGAAAATGTCTGTGTCCATCAGAGGAAGATGATAATGATGCAGTCTGCCCAGGATGCTGTGACTAAACAAAGGATGCTGCAAGCTAAGCCCTTGTCTGCGGAATCCAGAGGAGGTAAGTATACTGTGGATGCATTGGTTTTGTTTTGTCATAATACAGTGACACAGAGCTGACAAAGGCATACATAATACTTGGAGGTAAACTGATACGCATATAGTTTACATATTGGTTTCCATATTACATCAACAAATTGTGTGTATTTGCACCAATATTTAAACCGCTATAGTGTGTGAGCACAGCCAGGGAGATCACATACAACTGAGCCAAGCATCAAAGTCTGTTAGCCCACTGCCTGGGGAGTGTGGCACACCCAAATCTCAGGAGTGCTGGGGTGTTGTTGAAATTTTCTAAACATTCCAGCAGGGACCATCCCAGCTGCACTGTTCCAGAACTGTCTCTCAGCTAGGCTTTGAAACCAAGTCTACCTCAACTCAAATATAAGTCCTACCACTGCGTTTTACACAGGCCAATCAAAGGCAGCTCCTCAAGGGTGGCAGTACATACCGTGCACAAGAACGAGGGTCATCCACTCTTACATTAGACTTTCATCCAAATATCCTATTTATATGCCCAGTTACCCATGCAACCCTGGACCACAACAAACATTACACACCCCTTGACATCATCTCAAGGCTATTTCAGACCCTCTACTGTGACATGATATAACACGAGAGGAGACCCCGAGGAAAAACTGTGCAGATACAAACTTAGTAATGCTGCACAGTTTGGCCTTTTCATATCAGTTTCCCTCAGTTAACAGGAATAAGAAGATCAGAAAAGACATGAAGATTTGCCAAAGCTCCTCATTAGGTGCTGTACTCCTCTTTCCAAATATCTGAAAATTACTGCTATCATTGCCTTTGTACTATTACATGTCATGACACAGGGTCACAGTCACCTGACACCACACAGCACATTACCCTGGGGCAAATAGAAGCCTTTACTCTGACAGTGCCATTTAGGAAATGCATAGGGATATTAAGTATAATCACTTACTAACACCCCTCCGTTTGTCTGTCATGATGTGCCAGGGTTTCTGAACCTGGGGAAGAAGATTAGCGTTCCAAAGGACCTGATGATGGAGGAGCTCAACCTTCCCTCTAATCGAGGCTCTCGCATGTTTCAGGCGAGACAGAAGAGATTGGAAAGGTTCATTCTGGAGAACAATGCCAATAGTGCCTACGACACCAGCAATGTAAGGAATCAACTGGTAGCCAGTGGTGGAAGAAGTACTCAGATCCCTTACTTAATCCCAAAGTGTAAAAATACTTTGTTACAAGTAAAAGTCCTGGATTCAAAATGTTACTTAAGTAAATGTTCAAAGTTTTGGCATCAAAACATACAAGTACTCAAAGTACTAAAAGTAAAAATACTCATTATGCAGAATGACACATTGATCATCAATGTATTCTCCTAACATTTAATGTCGTAGCTGATAAAGGAGAAGCTAGCTTTACACAGTTTACATGCTGAAGTATTTTTCATAATGCTGGGTAGCTTGTCAATTTTCCACTGAAGATCAATAAAGTCTTATGATTATACTGTAATTTTTGTATTAATCTGGTTTTGAAAAGTAATTAGTAACTAAAGTTATAAAAATAAATGTAGTGGAGTAAAAAGTACAATATTTGCCTCTAAAATGTAGTGAAGCCAAAGTACGAAGTATACAAAAGCACAAAATGAAGCACAAAATAAAAAAACTCAAGTACAGATACCTCAAAATTGTGCTTAAGCAGAGTACTTGAGTAAATGCACTTAGTTACTTTCCACCTCTGCTGACAGTACATGGCAGCACAAGACTAGATGGCTCACAGCCACTGAATTACCCTACACACCTGAAATGATGACCCTGTGTGCATATAACCTCCTAACAGCTTCGTGGTGTGCAGGACAATGACGACCCAGTGATGCCTGACTCTTCTCTGGCCTCTGCAGTCGTGTTTCTTTGGATTACAAAAACAGCCATTAACCATCTTTTGTTTCATCATGATGTTTTTTTTCCACTCAAATGAATGAGCACCATACTGACAAAAATACATTTTAATCAAACAGGATTATTCATTATAAGCAACATCCCTTTAGGAAGAAGGATGCTCAAGCAATTTAGACTTGCACTTCATAAAGTTGGCAGGCCCACAAGAGACACATTTTTAAAATTAATGGGTAACACTGAAACAGCTTAGGTCAGGAAATCCTGACTTTTAATCTTTTGTCAAAATCCAAAACTGCTGTATCCATCACTTCACACCGTCTTTCACTAGACCTCTTACCCTGTAAATACCCACTTCTTTTATAGTCTCTAATGCAGGCTTTTTGCTCAGACTTTGAACAATAGAACTGTTTGCACAGGCTTAGTAGTTTTCCTTCCAATGATTAAACCAAACTTCATGTGTAAAATCGGTGGAGTGTCCCTTTAATAAAGTGTGTCAGAATATTTGTGGGCTAAATAAAACAACAACTTAACTTTGTGCATTCAGGCCCATCTCGAGTCCACAGCTCACCAGCAAATCATCCGAGAGCCACAGGGAGGAAAAGAGAACCAAGTTTTCTCCATCCCTGGTAAGCACAGCCTGGCCATGAACCTGCAGAAGACTGTAGCAAAAAAGGGAAGTCCTGACGTCCTGGCTCCAGGTAAAGACTAACACACAATGAAGAAAGGATTTTCACAGACTGCTCAAGCCATAGGACTAGCTCACCACAATGCTTGAGCAGCGCATGGACACTATCTCGTTTTGAACTGTTAGTATTCAGCTTCTATAATGGAAATGTACTGAGATAATATTTTTCTTTTATTACTATCGGCACCGGGAGAGTTGGCAGTTTGTAGAGAGCAGTTGCCTGTGAACATCTTTGCTAAGTGCTGCTGTGTATTTGGTTTGACACAAGGCGCTGCCTACAGTCTGACTGACAGCGAGCTCGGCTCTGTTTATTATCAGGGATTCACACTGAGATCTAATTACTGTAGTTTCCAAAGTTGACGGGAGTGTCATCAAAGAGATTTACATGTATATTAGATCAGTTTGCACTTTGTTGGGGCTTCCTTTCTTGAAGTTATCAGATGGGTTTGTAATTGGTTTCAAAACCCAAGTATGACCCATTTTCTCAGCACAGGGGCAACATATTTTGCTTACTTTGAATTTAAAATGTGAAATTATTCAAAATTAAAGTACTTTATTTCTTGGGTTGCATTTTCGTTTGTGTCAGGATATTCAGGCCCTCTGAAAGAAATGCCTCCTGAGAAGTTCAACACAACAGTTATCCCCAAATCCTACTCTTCCCCATGGAGGGAAGCTTTGGGAAATGAAGAGCTCCTGAATATCCTCCATATGCAGCTGCCACAGCTCCCATATAGGCTAGAGCCTGCCAACTACAGGTGCTTCAACAGGTAAATCGACCTTTCCACCTCTTGCCCAGTCACTAATACACCCCAAGCAATCATGAATGATTACATCCTGTTCAGTTGGAAGCACAGCTGCTGACACCCTTATCTTCAAATAGACCCACAGATGAGCTAACCATGTTATGTATGACCGTCATCTTCCCCCAGCTCCACCCCATGTTTCCACAGTTTGAAAATGAATCCGGTCTCTGGCTTGCACCTCCTTGGAGTTTGGCTGCATGATGGCTATTTTGAACCCTGGCTCTTGAAAGATGTTTGGCTGTGTGTGTGTGTGGGGGGGCTGCAGGTTTTTAATGCACATGAAAGGGAATCGCCTTTCTCAGGGCACACAAGGAACTGCATCACTTCAGTGAGGCAGAAAAAAGGTTAAACTTGGGCAGATGGAGAAATGAATATATACAGTAAAAGACAAACTCGACCATTATTCAGTTAAGGCTGTCAGTCAAATGGTTTCTGCCAGCCAGTCTGGAAATGTACCCCCTAAAGAGGGATCTGTTTACACCCTTAAGATTATTATGAAGCCTTAATTAAATCTAAACTCAACTAACAGCGGGAGCAGCTACACAAGTGGAAGAGGTTGGGTTCACCACTCACCCCATTTCCTTCTGAATCGCCAGCATTTCTCTCCTCTTAACAGGATCTCCAGTTAAAATCAGTTATGACTAAACCGAATATCATGTATCATCTAAGAGTTTTCCCCCTTTATGGGAAGGAGCGTCAGTCATTATGATACCTAGGGTTCATTTGCTAGGGTCACGTTTTGCCAGGAACATGAAACACAATGCGTTCAGCCTACTTTATTAAAAACTCTCATTTCCCAGATCTCCCATGCCATTTGGGGGCACTATGACCAGCAAGAGGGTGATACCAGTGATTGGCTATGAGGCAGTGGAATCCCAGGACCTGCCCAGCGTTGCTCTGGAGCGTATGTGCCAAAGGCCCAACTTCAACAGAGCACCCAAGGGATGGGGAATTGATTACTGCCCTGAATCTAATGACTTATGAAAAAGAGGGGGATAAACTAAAGACTGTAACACTGACCTGTGCTTGCACTTCTCCTCCTACAGCGATGATCCCTATGATAATCTCTGGGCACTACAAGGGAGGGAAATATACTTCTGCATAATATAGGCTATACAGTAAATATGGTTAGCTACTGCTGAATGGTTTGACCAGCTGAGGCAAACTCCAAATGCTGGAACCAGTTAATTACCACTGTCAGGATCTGATCCCATTAATGTGACAGTACCTGATTCCCCTGTTCTCACAGTGGCTTTGTCTTGTTTCACTAGCCAGACACGACAATAAGCTGTTATATAAATAATGATGACTAATATGCACTCTGAAATGATCAATGACAAACTCAGACATTTTAATGACACATGAAAATAACAAAGAAACTGTTACAATAACTAAGTAATCATCCTGTGGAATTTTAAGATTTTGTCAAATAAAAAAGGGAATATAATTGAACATGGACAGGTTTAAAAAAAAGCTCCTCAAAATTCAACTCCATGTGACAAATACAGGTGTAACCTACTTTTTTTGTATATACAATGGCTCCAACCAGAGGAGCCTGTAAAAATATATATGGCTGTGAGCACACTGGTCAATACTCTGATGTCTGAAGTATTTCATTGTGTTAAGTTCCCCTGTTTAACTGCTGTTCTGGTACTTTTTAACTGTGAGCAGTGACAAAGATCTTGGTTGTTGTTTCTCTAGACAAACGAGTGTGCTTGTTCATTTCACTGCACTGCAGGTGGCATAATAAATCAGATGTTATTCTGTAAGACATAACCAGTCCTTTCCTACATAGTTTATTCCTCCTAGAAGTAGCCTGCAGGCTTCGGCCCAGTGAAAACACCCTGACCGAGTCTGACATAGGGAAAAGTATGACTCCTAATCACGGTATGATTTCACTCTTAATCACCATGGCGCGAGCCATGTGCAGCATGGGCACCCATACGCTGAGGATCCTGGGAAGGGTAGTGGATTTGACCAGGGGGTCTCATGCTCATTGGAGGGGGCATAGGTGGTGCCATGGGACCCATGGGATGAAACATTGGGGGGCCGAAACCTGATTGGGCAGAAGAAAAGAAAAAAATACAGCATTAGGCATCAACTTTTTGGGACCATGTTACATGATGAATAAATTCTTCTCAGCTGCTCTGCAAAAATATATTGAATAAACCTCTAAAAACAAATCAAGATAAATTAATTGCTGTATAAAATTTATGGGACTATTTTAAATCACTTTTATATTTTACTGTTTATGTGATAAAAGCTGTAGTGAGGAGGTCAAAGTTATTGTTTTACCTGGAGGAGGAGGGTTGATGCCTGGAGGTGGGGGAAGAGTAATGTTCATGACAGCAGGAGAAGTGCTAGGGTCCAGGTTGAAGTAGTTTGCAGGAGCTTCCTCGTCTAAAGCTGGTGGTGGAGGAAGTGCTAAGCACACAGAGAAAAAGACAGGACAAATAAATACATTTTAGCAGTAAACCAAGTATTCATTTCCACTATCAATTGCAATAAAAACTTCTAGTGCATATGATCAAGAAGAGGACAGAGAGAAACAACAATTAATGATGCATTTCAGACATTAAATACTACATTAAACCACACTCACACAACTAACTCCCTATATGTACAAACACATACATACACACACACACACACACAATTTCCAACTCCCCCTGTGTTTGCAGACTCACCTCCAGGCAGTCCAGGTACAGGATCAAGTCTAGTACCCATCTCACTGACACCATCTTTGATACCCTCCTTCCCTCTTGCTGCTTGAGACCTAAAGTGACAAGCCATATAAGTACGCAGATAAATCATAAAATCATAGAAGAAGAAATTTTAGGTGCCCTGGCCTGCACTAATTCTCTGCACTCTGTGTGCAATATTATTTGCAAAACCAGTCTTTGCTGCATTCAGTTTACTACAACTGTGGTGGTAGCACTGCTCTGGCCGAAACACATGAACAAACACCTGGTGCTGATAAACAAACACCAATATGAAACTTCACCTCTATTCCCTAGTGGCTCTGCTTTGGAGCTGTATGGAAGCTAAGAAATTCTTATCAGACTGTACGTGAAGCCTTCTTTGTGATGCATACACTCAATGCATGACACCCTGATACTTGACTCTGACCTTCTTAATCAGCTTCTTACCTTCCCCACTTGACTGTGAGTCTCCTTCCATTAATGATAAGTTTGTTGAAGGACTTCTCAGCAGCCATTTCAGCTGCCTGACGTGTGGCAAACTGGATGAAGGCACACTGCTGCCTCTGGACTATGGTAATGGTGCGAATCTCACCAAACTGGTAAAAGTGACTCCTGCAAGAAAAGAAATGAACATCCAACAAAACACAGGATATAAAGGGTTGACATTGTAACAACAGCTGTTTTAAAACAATAAAACTGTACTCTATTATAGCTAATAAAAACCTGCTCTCAGTGGCCATAGAAAGTTGTGCACCAGTTATTATGAAACAGAAATCCTTACTTAAGATCCCCATCTGTGACAGTATCTCCCAGGCCCCCTATGTAGAGAGTGGTGATGGACTTGTCCTCTGGTGGGTCCAGCCGGGGCATAGTTGAGGCCCGCTTCAGCAGCTTGTCAGCTACTGGGTCATTAATGCCGTAGTAACGGTCCTTGATGTTCTGGTCAGCTAGAGGGTCGTCAGGATCTGTGGGCTTCTCATGCCTGTGTGAAAAGGAGAACCATAATGAAAAAAATGCAGACAGCATAACATCTGTAACACATATCAAGAAATTACAGTCAACACACCGATTTCTACTTTGTACGGAAGATGATCAGGACCACTGTAAAATATGCATTTCAGCTCTGCCAAAACGTTAGTTGGTGGTTGGCACTTCTATGACACTGTGCAGCATTTCTTTGCCACTTACTAACGTTCACAATTGAAACTGAGCAGATCATGTTGGAGTTCAAACTAACAGATGTTTAACAGCAGTTACTTTTACTGAAATTACTGCAACCACATAGAGAGAAGACGTTGGAGGAGATGGTCTGTACGACAACTGAACCGACTGAGGCAGAACGAGGGGGGATTTTCCGTGCTTGCCCGGCCAATGAGAGGCACGAACAAGGAAATGCAATGCAACCAATCACAGTTGTTGCAGTCTGCACCTCCACAGTGTGTAGTTATATTTTGGAGAGATACACGTCAGGCTACAGTGTAGACTATGCATTACCCACATTGTACCTACGGAGTAGATTCAACACATAACGATAAATCAAGCTTTACTTTGCCTATGGGTATAAAAACTCAAAACAAATGTAATTAACAGATAATAAATAAAGTCAAGATACAATCCCACCACCCCCGCCATACACCACAACTGTCACGTTTATAAAGTATCACTCACCTGTAAGGACACTCCTCCCCTCTCTTACACTCTCCTTTCACCCAGAAGGAGCAGATGTGTGGCCGGTTCCTCTTGTAGTAAGGTGTGGTCCGGGCCAGTTTCAGCAACATATCACTAGAGCTGGTGGCCTTCCCTAGCTGGCCCACTGGCCGTGTGCCCTCAGAATTGGCTATCTGAGGAGGAGGAGTTCCAATTAGACATGAGGGATCAAAGACAGAAAAGGCCCTATCTTAGAAAGAAACATAAATTAGGGATGCTGCATTTAGGGCGCATTTTACTGAGGTTTCATAGGTGAACCAAACTTCTAAAATGCTAATGAGAATCCAGTATTTTATCCATTGTGAAAAAAGGTAAACTCAGTGCAAACATTGCTGGATCACTGCGCTCTCCAAAGACAATAGAAAATATTATAGGAAACTAATTAGCTGTGATCATGCAGGTAATATTCTCTTAATGCAAAAATGTTCAGGTATCACACCATTGCTTTACTTATGTGTAAACTGCAGGCCAAATATATATTTTATTGTGTAGGAAAAAAAGAAATAATTACAATAAAAACAGGAGCAAATTACTTAAGGACTTGAAACCAGGATCAAATACAGGTGTTCAGGACATCTCTACAACTACTGCAGCTGTACAGTGAGGAACAGAAGTATTTGAACACCCTGCGATTTTGCAAGTTCTCCCACTTAGAAATCATGGAGGGGTCTGAAATTCACATTGTAGGTGCATTCCCACTCTGAGAGACAGAATTAAAAAAA